TTTGAAAGAAAAACGAAAGAAAGTTCACGAAATGAAAGCCGAAACTAACCGACATTAAAACCTATTCAAGGACCCAATTCTGGTGCTCAAACTTTTTCAATTAAATCAATATGGTAATCTCAAAAACAAAAAATAAATTTACCATGCAAAATGATCAGTCAGCTGTTGCGATTTTCAGCCGGGGTTGCGGGGTAAGCGCAATGAGGCACCGCGACCTCGGCCTAGAGCAGGAGAAGGATCAGGGGGTTTTTAGTCAGTAAGAGTCTGACACTCCCTCCCGCCCGGCCCTGGGCAGTGAGAAGTCATTTGATGATTTTCCCCTCACAAAAAAAAAGCTGTTGCGATTTGTATGGGGAAAAAAATCTATTTTTGAGTTTTTCATATTGGTCTTATGGAAAGTTGTTGTACGTGAGTACCAAAATCTACTCCTTGAATATGCATATATACATATATGTCCGTCGTTCGAAATGCCACCCTGTACCTATACTACAACAAAAGGAAATGCCAAAACGTTGACCACAATGAATCCCATTCCTCCACATAACATTCCACACCACAAAATCAATTGTACTACAGAGCATCGACCCCATATAATTTGAAACACGTCAACCTCACAAGCATATACATATGTATGAATAGATCAAAAAAAATAACGTGACGTCACAAATACGGTTTGGAACTTGAGTTGGGAACTATGATCCTTAATATACATGGGATAGGCTTGATAATTCTTTAGCAACTCATTAAGGAAAGGACCAGTTTCAAAAATATGTACATCTTCAACACGCTTACTTCTTAAAAAATACAAAACTGGCTTCTGCCCGCGACTCCGTTCGCTTGGAATAGTGACTTATTGCAGATTTTTGGTATAAAAACTATCCCATGTCCTTCTCGAGATCTAAAGTATGTCTGTACCAAACCGCGACCTCGGCCCAGAGCAAGAGAAGGAACGAGGGAGTTTTAGACAATAAGAGTCTGACACTCCTTGTGGCCTCTCCTGGGCGGGAGAAGTCATTTGATGATTTTACCCACACTAAAAAAAACTTACTCTTACTCTAGACGCTCTAGTTTGTCAATAAAAAGTTTTACGTTTGCAGCTGATGTGTGAATGAGCAAAGTTGTATTAACGTTGATAAAAAGTTATTTCCTATTCTGCAGTGTATCCTATGCCTGTGCCAAATTTCATCCAGATCTGTTAAGCCGTTTTTGATTGTGATTGAGTAACAAACATCGAAACATCTTAACTTTCGCATTCATAATATTATAAGTTAAGTATAAGTAAGATTTGTACCTACATACTAACATTTTATATTTTTAAGTCCAATCCGCCTCTAGACCCATTCTCAATTTTTAAAATCAGCTATTCTCAGTAAGCCAATTCTCAAATAACCGATAACAGAATCTCTTCTGGAATTTCGTTTTGCCACCCTATCACAAACAAAATCTTTCATTAATCACCCAACGGATGTCTTAAGAACACAAAAACCAATGCAAGTTCTTCAAATAAATAGGATTCATAACCATTTTTCAATCCGACTACGATTTTTCGATGTACACACTAAAAATCTTTGTAATTTTTTTAAATACCTAGCTACAGATATTAAAGCAACGTATGTAATCCGGAATTCGGATGCAATGTTTATTAAAAACATACAGATCAAAAAGTTTGATCTAAAATCGTGTCTGTCGGAACTGTTAGACGTTTTTTTAAACATTTATCAAGGTCATGAACAAATCATCAATTATCAATCTTAACGGGAGTTAGCAGAAATGTGAAAAATAAATGACATCATTATAGCATCATCAAGATCATCACCGTTATCATTATCATCACCCGAAAACGTCTATTACTGAACAGAAGTCTCCCCTTAGTCCTGCACATCGTCAGCCGGGGTTACGGGGTAAGCGCAATGAGGCACCGCGAACTCGGCTCAGAGCAGGAGAAGGAACAGGGGGGTTTTTAGTCAGCAAGAGTCTGACACTCTCTCCTGCCCGGCCCTGGGCGGGAGAAGTCATTTGATGATTTTCCCCTCACAAAAAAAAAGTCCTGCACATGGAACGACAATTCGGTTGCATGCTTGGGTCCTCGTGACGCTGATCATTTTGTCGGCTCGCAAAGCTGGAGGCTTGCTTACCCTACACGTCTTCTGTTCTTTGTTCACCAGTCGATCACTTTCTTGGTCCATCAATAAAATTGTCGCCTGTCCTTTAAGCGATGTAGCTTGTCCACAGCTGCCACCTCAGTTTACAAACATACCTTGTTCCTATTTTATTTATCTGTATCTAGCAATTTTTTTTTTCAATTATGTTATTATTGTAGTATTGTGTTATCTGAACATTATATTCAATTATAATTATACATATACTTATATTCAATTGTTATATATTTTTAATTTCATCATCATCAAACATTTGATGAAATGTTTGAACAAAGACAGATTTCGATAATTCTTTTTATCCCGTTTTTGCTTAGGTCACCAGGAGGTACTCATATTTTAAAGTTTTAGAAAAGTGTGGGAGGTTCATGTCTCGCCACGAATGAATTGGCTCGACTATATTGATGTGAAACCACACAGCGTTGTTTCACCGTGTGAGTGAGGTTACCGGAGGACCAATCATCCAGAGGAGACAACCCTACTCTTTTGGCGCCTATTTTGCTAACAAAAGAAATGACTGACACTAAGATTACTGGATACCCGGGCGAAGAAGTTAAGGCCGCCAGTTCACATATAAGAATTAGAATTAAATATAGGTACTGGATGATTTACATAAGACTTAAATTAATTATTCAATAAGAAAGAACCTCTTTATTTATTTAAATTATAGAGAACGTATATTTATTCTATTACTTACTGATATTTAACCTAAACCCAGACGAACGAAAATATCACTCAGCCAAAATCAATTCTATTTTAACTGTAAATGCCAAGCAATCATTTATGATGTTTTGATGTCAAACGAAGCGTAAATTTTAATAGATCAATAAACGATAGTTATTTAACCAATTCTGATATTATTTAGTAACCAATGTTATGTTAATTCAACTCCAAATCTATTTTAGGGTTTATATAAATCTTTGTGGTAAAACATTTAGCTGAGATCAGCTCAACTTTATGTAAACTTTTTGTTAAGGTATACCTCGTGGAATAAATTGGAATTAGCTTCTGCCAGTGGCTTTGCCCATAGTAGGAAAAATATTTAAGGATCGAATAGAATAGATACTTATATGAAAGTTCCCTAAGATCGGAAAAGAAGGATCCATCGAAGCCAGACTAGGGATGCATAGACCAAAGGAAGGAACTTTCTCCGTATGAGAAGGGGCTTTTGCTCGGCAGTGGGCACTGGCAATAACACCAAAGAAGTAACAAGTGCGTTAACGGTCTTTTGCTTTTGATTTGAGATTGGCGGGAACTGAAAATGGGTAGTGGTAAAGGTATAGGCCTCCTGTAACCTCACTCACTAGACGAATCGTAAGGCAAGTATTGTTTCATGCTGGTATTCTGCGCAGTCGTGGTGTAACTCCGGTTGAGCCGGTCCATTTGAGCCGAAGCATGGCTTTCCAACACTTTCCTTATTCATTCCTTCAAAGTCAAAGTTAAAATCATTTATTTCAAGCACACCACAGTAGGAACTTTTTAACGTCAAGCAAAAAAAGTATAAAAGTATTTTAAGAGCTTTAACATTAAGCGTGTCAGTCTGTCCGTCTGTTCTCTAGTGAAGCTATTTGCTCGGTCCAAAGTGTAGATTCCTATGGAGAAGAACGAGCTAGAAACTCCATGGTTACTCTTCTTTTTCGATCAATTTTACAATACATTTCTTTGTTTCATTCTTCTCTCTCTCTTCTCTCCGTGAGAATGATAACAATGTCCCAGCAGTGATGATAATATTGTTGGTAAACCGAGACTAACCGTACAATGATTTATCAATCTCTTTTCATAATTATAATACTTAGCTTAATGTCCTTAAAGTTTCTAATACGACTTAAGTAGAAACAAGCGAAAAAAAATAACGTTATCGAAAGACAATGAAACTTACGTAAGTATATTGTATCACGCAAAAGAATTATCAATTCATTAACAAATTATAATCAAATCACTATCACTCTACGATCACTATGGAATAAAAATAGATCAAGAATACGATCAATGCAAACCACGGTCTTTATAGCATTTGATGTTCTAAAGCCAATATCAACATTAAATAGTATAAAACAACGTCGCTTCCCGCTGTCTGTCCCTATCACATCATCGGCCCATAAGTGCCCACTGCTGAGCAAAGGCCTCTTCTCACACAGAGAAGGTTTAAGCATTAATCACCACGCTTGCTCAATGCGGTGGGCGATTTCAAACTTATAATTAGAAATTATAAGTCCAGGTTTCCTCACGATGTTTACCTTCACCGTATGTCAGAGGTGTCTAAATAATCATAGAAAGTACATACAACTGTCTGTCCCTATGTATACAAAGATATTTAAAACTACTTGACAGATTTTGATGCGCTTTTGTTTTAATAAAGGATAATCCTAGAGAAAGTTTGTGGCATATAATTTATAAAAGATGTCGCAGGCAGGAAGTTAGCAGCCGATATTTTATTAAAATGTTAAATAACTGTTGATCTTCACATTTCTAATTAAATATTGATTAATATTTCGTCCACTCAGATGTAGTAGCCATATTTTTCTGCCTATTGGTTAAAAGACGATAGTCATTAAAATTGCGGATTACGAGGGAAGCGCAATGTTCGCCCTGGAGCAGGAGAAGGATCGGGGGTTTTAAGGAGCTTGAAGATGTTGCTTGAAAATGATTATTATAAGGATCTTCATCGTATTAGCTACAATTGGACATAGGCCTTTCTCAATGACTTCGAGATTGAGTAGTTAGAAGCCAAACATATCCAATCACTATTACGATTCTCCCCCAACGATTTTTAGAACCACTAAATGACTAAATGGAAGGGATCTGCATCCAATAATCATGAAGATAAAGAAATGTTGAACTTACATAGTCAGGTCTTGACCCATACGGTGGTATTCCAGTTGGGTAACTATCCAAATCATCAGGATAATCAGGAGGCACCACAAACGAAGGCATTCTATGAGACGGTGAGTTCAAATGATGATGTACATCACGATACTCTACTGGTACCCCACCAGGGGGAAGGCTTTCCGGATAAATATCCGGACGATCAACTTTATCCGGTAATCCAGGGGATATATCCGGCTGCCGCTGAGCCCGGATGTTTACACAACACAATATCACAAACAGAAACACACTTCTAGCACTCATTTTGTCACTAAATCACCACTTATAAAATAAAAAAATAAGTTAAGTTTACACTAAAAATGTTTTTGTGTATTGTTTTTTTTATTTTTTATAAATTATCGAGTTTAGTTTTTACACCGTTGCATGTGCCAACGTTTATCCGTAACGTGTCCGCGTGTACCACAAATAGGCGAATTGTTTCATGATTAAGATAGTTATTGATATCAAATTCTGTCCAATCTACTGATAATGCCAAAAACTGAAGTATGGCTGACGCGCACACTGATAATATTCGGATAAGATATTATTTTTATGTTATGATCGCTTTAGCGTAGAAACGGAATTTGTAGCGGCGTGAATCATTTTGTTTGTTTCTTTTTTAAAAGAGGGAAATGTATTTTTTTCTTAGATTTCTTAGATCTTACAACATTAATATGCTTAGTGCATATGTACTTGTCGTGGTAGGTCGGAGGTTAAAACGCCTGCTTCTCATGCATGAGGATGCGGGTCGGAAACTTGGCAAGTACCATCTCACTGGGACTGGTCAGCTCCGGACTTTCTATTGTCCTTAAGGTTATTTTCTTTTTATGTTTCTCTGTATATTGCGTTACGCTGTTCTCACATAATCAAACCAACTAAATAATGTATCAAAGAATCTTTATGTGACACTGATTTAACACATTCAGTGCCCCCGACGCGTATGTGCGTGCGAGGAAACGCACATACGCGTCGGGGGCACTGAATGTGTTAAAAAGAGTAACCATGGAGTTTCTTGCTCGTTCTTCTTCATCGGAATCTACACTTTGGAACGAGCAAATAGCTTTACTAAAGAGGACTGACCGACAGACTGACCCTTTATATCTTAAAAATGTAGTTTGTCGTTCAAAAGTGAAATAAATGATTTTGACTCGAAGACGGGGTCAATAGACGCAGAAGAGAAAGAAAGAAAATTCACCAAAATACCTATATTCACCCCCTTTCTCTTTCTATTCACCTTTCAAATTCTGTAAACCCCATTTTACTGTGAACCTATGTACTTTCTATGATTATTGTGATATGTGCTTAGTTTCAGAGAATGTTTACCATCTTTGACTATGCATTATGTACTACATTAATTGGATTGACGTAATTTGTATTACTTATATTCTCAGATTAGTTTATAAGGTTACTCATGTGATGATGGTGAAATAGACTCTAAGAATAAAACTGTTGGTAATAAATAATTTAAGAAAATACTTTCGTTAAATAAATCAAAATATGTTTATATTATATTTCTTAAAAATGTAATAGATAACAATCTAAATCGTCTTGTCTTACGTTTCAATCTCAATTATTATGAATAATTATAAATAGCATAGTGATAAGAAGTTTCTTTGTTTAAAGAGGTTTTACATAAATATTCTTTAATTTCAATATGACAATACAGATACTTAATAAATCAAGCCCTATACAATATTTGTTTATGCGCGTAAATAAAAGAAAAAAAAAACAAAACGAAGATTTCCCTGATTCAAAAAAAGAATTCCACAATAAAATTTGAAGCAATTATAATCAACCTCATAGGTACAACATACGCTAATATAACAAGTTTTATAAAAAAAGTTAAGTAAGTATACCTAAGCCGAATGACTATCTCAGATAAGTTTTAGGGAAGAACCACACCAATACACGATTAAACGACGATACTAAGCATTTGATTATAAATATTGGATTATTTAATATGTTTTGTAACGCAATGATAAGTAAATTAATCATTGATGATAAAGACAATGTTACACCACATTTTATTCGTAACGGTTGGTAGGTACCTACCTACTAAGTTCAAGTGTGGCACGAATGAGTCGGCCCGACCGGAGTGGCCTTCAGCATCATCATCATCCAGCCTATAAGTGCTTACTGCTGAGCAAAGGCCTCTTCTCATACAGAGAAGGTTAGAACATTAATCACCACGCTTGCTCAATGCGGGGTTTGGGGATTTCAAACCTATAATTAGAAATTATAAGTCCAGGTTTCCTCACGATGTTTACCTTCACCGTATGTCAGTGGTGTCTAAATAATCATAGAAAGTACATATAACTCGGAAAAAGTCACATTGGTTCTTGCCAGGTTTCGAACCCATGCATGAGTAGCGGGCTGCTTAACCTCCGGGCCAACATGACATTTTGTGACTTGGAATGGTCTTAGGTACTTCCTTATATAGCAAACTGGCATGAAAGAAAGCTTAATTACCCGCAGTACAAGATACTCCTTGTGTCAGAGATCGCTTGACGGTCGTCCCCGTAAGCGCGGGTCTGCTGACGACGAGCAATTGAAGCTCGGCTGCCGATCAGAACCACACCCAAGCGTTTTCGACATAGCGTTTCACGCGGTTCTAAGAGCCAACAAGCCAGCACAGATCGGGCTCGATAGGCTTGATATTCAGCCGGTCAAAATGTAGCCCCAGCCTGGAGCAGGGGAAGGTATGGGGTAGTTTTTAGCCAGTAAGAGACTGACCTGGACTCGCGTAAACTTATCCTAAAATACCTAACCGTGAATACTAGGCACTGCACACTTATTTCGTCCATAGAATATGCTCAGGAGATATACGTACTAATCGACAGCTGCGCCGTGATTTAAAACAAAATTAATACTTTAATTAATTTTTACGAGCTCTCGTTTCGTTAATTGGACCACCGAATTAATTAAGTAGAATACTTATTTTATTAAAATTATAATAAAATAGTCATTGGCACTTCATTATTTATCAGATGATCATAATGAAAGATATATTATCGATAGTTATGGTAAACAAATCGTACTCAACAATAGATAGTGTTGTGCCAAGGTCATCGATAAACTATTTTGGAATATTTATGCGGTAAATTATCCTGTTACGCTGCAGATAGAATTTTGGAATACTGAGAAGAGGACTTTTTTGAAGCAGCTGTGTTTCTTTTTCCTTATAATAAAAGATATACCTATAATGGCGGCCCGCTAAGCTAAGGAAGCTGCGCAAGGTAATTAATGAGGCCTACCACGTCTTATATTGGAACTAGGTCTGTTGTCCTATTGATTATTTGCTAGTAGGTATCCAAACTATTTCTTTTTTTGACACCTTTTCATATACATCTAGAGCACGTAAGTTTCCAACAATTGAAGTGGTCTCCTCTAAACAGCTTTTTGATAGTGTCCATACTTAGTTGGTAGACAGGAGATAACAGTTTGAGGAGTTCAGACTTATCAGAGAACTGTAGTTCCAAGTATTTGTTAAATGTCTTTGCCGCATATTTGAACAGGGGAGAAATAATAAATGTGGGAGAAGCATACTTCGGCACGTCCGGGCCGGCTCGACAGGAGTCCACAGAAACCCGTCATGATAAAACAACAAAAAATCAAAACTTACAATTTTAAATACCAGGCATATAAGATCGGATTTCTGGATGATTGGAGGATCTTCCTTTTTTGAACTTTACTCTCTGTTCTCTAATGTGACATAGGCTTTACTTTAAAGGATATCACCAAATAACTTTTCCCTGCGTGTAACGAGAGGGGGAGTGTCAGAGTCCTACTGACTAAAAACCACGCCGTACCTTCTTCTGCTCCACGCTGTGGTATATTACAGTGCTTCCACCCGCATCCCCTGCAAGAAGTAGGTACCTATAGGCTACACCTTTCCTATGATCCCGTAGGCAAAACAAATCATCATCAGCCTATAAGTAGCCACTGCTGAGCAAAGGTCTCTTCTCACACGGAGAAGGTTTTGAACATTAATTACCTCGCTTGCTCAATGCGGGTTGGCGATTTCAAACTTATCATTAGAAATTATAAGTCCAGGTTTCCTCAAGATGTTTACCTTCACCGTATGTCAGTGGTGTCTAAATAATTATAGAAAGTACATATTATAACTCACAATCGAATCGGTTTCGAACCACACCCTCATGCATGAGAAGTGGGCGAAACAAATATCTAACAGTATTTATGTCATGTATGCTACAACAGCTCCTGGTCATGATACGATATTCAACCGCTGTGAACTTAAAAAGAAATAAAATGGAACTTCTTAAAACGTTTGGAACTCGAAATAGATGCACTGAAAAATATTTGTTATGTTTAGCGAAATACAAACATAAGTTTTGATTACGAAAGCAAAGTGCTATGTATCTCTTGGACTAGTAATTCACTCCGATCCTTTATAATACAAGATCAAGAAAGTAATAAAACGGTTGTTTAAATTTGAACTTTGAGAAGGTGACTTTGGGTTTGTTTTTTTAAATCTGTTGTGATATTAAATTCTGATTGTTATGTTTTTATGTACACAATCTTACCTAGCGTTTCTGTTCTTGTCACACGTTGTGTTGATAGTTAATGTGTCTCTTTCATTTCTTTTTGAAGTTATACTACTCCAATCTCCCTCTGCCTTTCTCTAAACGGTATCCGACTTTGTTACAAAGGACTAAAGTCGAATGTACCTAACAAATATTTGAGAAAATTAGGGCAAAGAAAAAGTGCTTAAAACTTGGTACTCACATGAGGTATCCTCATCGTCCTTGGGCTGGTAACGTGGAACTGTGTATCATCTGCAGCCACAGTGGTAGACCTGGTCCCGGTTTTCATCTGTCCAAAAAACCCAGATATCGAATTGGGAATGGCTTTCGCAGCTCCATTTTGTGGGACCACAATCCTTGGGGTGGTCGGCACGTATTTCGGTGGCAACAAATTCATTTCTTGAGCTCGAAAATTTTCGGTTGGCACTACTGATAAGAGTATGCAGCATACTGCCGCATGCCATTTCCTCATCGTGCCTACATTCTAATGTCCACATTTAGTTCCAATTACAACAAGTTCAACACAATAACACTACTCACTAACATTTTTACGAGGAACATTTCAAAAATGGTACTTTTTTATTGGGAGGCACGTGATTGGCTGGTTTAGGTAGAGGCTGGTACACACAGGGGTTGAGTTTTACTTATGAAAACGCTCGATGGCCATATATAAGAATAGATTTTGCCCGCTACTCCGTGCGCGTGGAATAGTGACTTTATGCAGATTTTTGGTATAAAAACTATCCTGTGTCCTTTTTCGAATTCCAAACTATACCTATCTGTACCAATTTCAAAGAAAT